TGACAATATAACTGAAAATATGTTGCAACAAAAAACTCACAAACCTGAGGAACAGTGACTGAAAACTCTTGTTCAATTTCGTCATCTGTGTCCTCTTCTTCCCACTCCATGAAAATGTCACTATAATACAAAGAATTGGGTCCTTTAGACCAAGTTTTGCAGAACACACAAATGCACCACAAACTATAAAAAAGACTTGCCTTGCGTGACTGCTTTCAATATCAGCATCCAAGTTTTCTCCTGTCTGTAGTTCAGCCCTTCAACACATGACCAAAAATACTAAGTTATGATCAACTAATACAATCAGAATGAAGGAAGGTAGAATAATAGCTGCACACTCACATTGGAGCTGTCGTATTTGACGAAGCACCATCTGCTGGTGGAACAGGAATTGTCTCCAAGCTTTCTCTGTTTAAAACACATGCTATTACTAACAACTCCTATGTGTAACTGTTTTAGAGCCATTAGTCAAGTGTGTAGCAATAGTGGTCTGTTTGAAAAATCAGAATTACTGAAAGCAGCCCTTATTCACATTAAGACAATTTAATTGAGCAATGCAGCAAACAGACCGTTAGCTAAGAAACACATTTGGAACGAATCCACAATTGGAACAGAATGGAAGTAATTTGTATGGAAAGTCTTTCAGAACTATAATGTACAAAACAAACGAGTCAAATAGGTTACAAATTAAAATGGATATAAATCAGCAAGGTTGTGGTGAAGACCCAAATACAGTAAGTTACAGATTACATCTAATAAATGAAAATACAGATTTCGGAAGGATTTATAGTTGTGTATAAATCAATGACACAATGTGTAAGAATTCCTGTCTACAGCAAATTCATGCTTGCCTGACATGTTCAGATGAAGATGGTGAACATTGCTGTCCTTCAGGAACCTTAAACAAAGATTGATTATTCAGACATTTTCAGTTACAGGTGAAAGGTATGTGTGGCTTAAAAAACTTATTCAAAGATTTTGCACAGTCTTAACAAGAAGAACCATCACCCACCTCTCTAAGGTACAGGTTTGACTGACCCAGTGCCCTTTTTGTGTGGATCCCACCTGGGCTGGTCTCCACTAGGGGGAATAACCTCACGTTTCGCGTTTATGCGACAGAG